AATTGAAAATGCGGTATATATACATATATCAATGTTCCACTTTCAAGATCCCGAACTCCTAACTAAAAGTAAGGTGTTGAAAAAAAGATACCCCCGTAGTATGTGTACCAGGTTAGGGTTGAGCCATAATTTCATTCCGATATTTCTTATTTCAGTTCTACTACGAGTTCGGGGACTGTCTCTGTTAGCCAAGTGAATATACCCCCTGTTCATATCTTTCAGTCCCTTCACACAACTTGATGTAAAGTAGACGAACAAAATTAGTTACCTCCATTGGTACACATACTTCTGGAGCGCCGAAAAGACAGCTGCAACCTGTCATTGATATTGGCCCAAACCGGAAAAATTTTAGCAGAAAAATGAATGAAAAATAATCAAATGTATGCAATTTTTCTAAATCCAAGGTCCCGACCTACTAACTGAAGAACGGGAAGAAAGTATTGATCGTAGTGATGCAAGCGCTAATCGCTGACACACTAACTTAGAATTTCACAAACTTTTGACGTACTGGAGCCCATGGAGAGTTTGACTATTATTTACGGAGCCATACAAATTTGATATTTGACAAACGGTGACCGTACATTTGAACCCATGTACATGTGAACCCATGCGTATATCCACTCTATATGCGGGTGCTAAAACCCATGGGTTAGGGTTAGTATGGGTTTAACTATCCGTGAAACAAACAAAATTCCATAGGTGCAATAGCATACAGGTGCAATTGTCATGAGTTCAAATGTACGTGGGTTCAAATGTAATGGAACCTTGACAAACATATCAACAAAGTAGTGTCGAAATGTGGCAACAATGCGGTGGAATTATAGATAATATCATATTTGATATACCGCTACCAATCTAAGGTCTCACACTACTAACTAAGGGTAGTATTGATCGTAGAGATGTGAGCGATCGCCGACACACTAACTGATACTTGTATATCAGAACTGGGTCAGCTATAGAGGCCCTCAGCACTTTGGTGGCCTATATATGTATAAAAAATGATAATAATAAAACTGGTGTTCCATGTTATCTCGGAAATGGATACGTAACTTCCAGTATTCATTGAATCGCAGGCGAACCATTGAAGCGTGAATAAGTGGTCTGCTAGACCGGTTCCAGCGGACATGTAATCAGGCCTATTGCTAATTGTGAGCCAAGTCACGATAATTTAACTAATGTTTTTGGAAACAGTTCTTATACTTTATATACATTGATTAACTTGATTAAACATTAATGTAGATAGAGGTATAACATGAATGACTGAACTTTTGAAGTCTGCGTCGTCTGACCACTCGAATTGGTTCATTAACACTAAGGCAACAATGGAAAATTGTCTATGGAAATTCCCGTGGTGTCACTTTTTCCTTGGTGCCCTAAGTACGTGCTTATTTTGCTTAACCAATAATCCAGCACAGATATACATAGGAATAGATTTATTATTGACTGAGCCTCTGGACGTCTTAATTTCAAGGACTATATGCGATCGAATTAGCAAAATATATAACTAAAGCCCCGAAGTATAATAAAAATATTTTTCCTCCGAAAGGAATGTCAGAATATTGCGATTTGCACTTTTAAATATAGCGTAGCCAAATTTTTTGGGGGGGAGGGGGGGAAGGGGGGCAATTTATTTTGAGCCAGATCAATATATTTTATAATGACGTGAAACGACGCTCACTCGAAATGAAAGCTTTGCGATGAGTACCTGAAAAGCGGATCAAAAGTGTATACTTACTTTTGAGACAATCTGTATATTTGGAAAGACTCATGGACTCCGAAGATTTTTTCAACTTTGACTTAGAATCCGGATAAACCAAAATTTTGACTCTGATCACAACTCATGATACTGAGTGAACAAAATCAACTACTACGTCGTTGAAAAGGCTATGGACTCCGATCACTACTCTAGATAATGAGTAACAATATCAACTGCAATTACTATATCGTTGAAAGGCCTATAGACTCCGAACAACAGATATCTTCAACTTGGGCTAAGAATCCGGATAAACCAAAAATATTGACTCTGACCACAACTCATGATACTGAGTGAACAAGATCAACTGCAATTACTACGTCGTTGAAAAGGTTTATAGCTCCGAACAACGTTTCCAACTTTGACTAAAAATCCGGATGACCCAAAATTGTGACTCTGATCACTACTCCGGATAAGAAGTAAACAACATCAAATATATCAAGTATATTTTTGAAAAAGGTCTATAAACTCCGAATACGGTTTCAATTTAAGATAATAATCCAGATACTGGGGCTGGGAATAGTTAGCCGATTAACCGGTTAACCGATTTCATTTGGTTAACGGTTATGATTTATTTTAACCGTTAACTGACATCTCAGGTACAAATCATCTTTATACCGTACAATTTCGTCAAATATGATTACGTCATCGCAAATTTATCTTTTGCGGCATTTAATTAAAAAAAATATTACTAACTGTGTGAGTAAGGAATCAATAAATGTAAAAAATAATGGAAGCGCCAAGGTTGCTAATAATGAAAATTTACAATGATGAATTGAAAATCAGTATTCGGTCGATTTCGAAATATATTGTTCACGATTTCATTGCAAAATCGGATATTCAATGTCATACAACAAGTGCGCACTTGATGCCGTTTTTCTTTGTATGATATATATCTCGAAGTAGAATTTGCACATAGAACACTGATAATTTGTCACATAAATGACGTTTAACAACGGAATCAGGTTTTCTAAAATTTCTCCACATGCCCGAACCACGCTGCCTATCTATTGCAACAGAGGAATCATGAAACTATCTCGATTCGTGAATAATTTTGAGCGAAACCGGGATAAGAACACGTGAAATTGCTTTATAACCATTGTGACGTAACAAGCTGAAATTATAAATATTACGTCAAACGTCATGCGGTGGCTAACCGGTTAATTTTACCCGGTTAACGGTCAAAATGTTTTCCCTAAAATTCCCAGCCCTACCAGATACACCATATTCTTGACTCATGCTCCGGTGGAGTGTAAATGAAACTTCAGCTTCGTGCACTAGCAAGAACTACGACTCCAAATATTTGATTCCTATCTTAGCTCCGGGTTGGCGCTAACGGCCACGATTGGGTCTGTGAAGGCTGAAAAAAATTACATTCGGCTATTTTTTAACGCTTTGAAATTTTCTGCTCCGACTCTCAGTAAAAAGCTTTGACGTGTAAAGCTGATTCGTCTTCAATAACAAATTTTGACTCAGAATATTAGAATAGTGACATAGCCAGGAATTTCCAAAAAGTCTTGGTTCTGTAATTTCTAATTGCGAAGTTAGACCGTAACAGCTATAGAGAATCTGGGGGAGTGCTGTTAAGCCGGAAAACGTGATTTTTCAAGAGTTTTAGGGTCTAAACGGGTTTCAAGCTACAAAAAAATTGTTATGAATGATACAGGAAAATGATCTCATAAATGAAAACGTCGAAGCAGCCTCATCGGTATAGTTTTGTGCGCTTATCGGGCAGAATTACAGCCTGGCAAGTAGGGCTGGGCATTTCCGAATACCTGATGATTTCAGAATCGAATCGAATCTCGAATACTTGAAAGGTATGAAATTGTATGTGACTTTCATATTATTTTAGGTCCTCCAGACATAAATTACTGAAAACATAGAATACATCACTGACAATAAAAATCAATACCTCAATACAGAAAAGAGTCATATGTCAGAATTGTGTTGAAAAAATATGGCTTCAATGATGAAAAATTGAGAAATTTACCTCGACCATTGGCGGAAAGAGTGAAACAAGATGGCGGCGATTCGAAAATTTGTTCTCAACCGATTCGAATAATTTACTATTCGATTCGAAATGCCCAGCCCTACTGGCAAGTCTCGCTCATTAGGTGTCAGTTTTTCATTTCAAAAAGGGGAAGTCCGACCTCCTGGCTTCGCCCCTGTATTAGAAGTCTGTAATTCCGAGTGTAATCTGCGAGAAATTACAGCGTTAAAAATACAGCGTCAATATCAATCGAAAAACGCCAATTTCTGACTTCTCTACCTTGCCATGATAATGAAAGCGGGAATTATGAGTCTGGAACAGTGGTGAGCTGTAGCCGGAACGCACCGGAACGGCGTTCCGGTTGTTGGACATTTTACTGCATTTGCGTTCTTGTTGTTGAAAAAAAATTATGGTACAAAAAGTCTAGTTTCTCTGGTATACTTAGTTATTAATTTATGTTTTGTTACATCATATTAGGTATTTTTACGTCACATCACGCAAATAATTAGTACAGCAGTATCGTGTAATAGATGTTTCTCCGACCTTTGACCCCATGAAAATTCATCCTATACTATTCTAATAATAAGATTTGTATTGAATTGATATCAATACTCTTATAATTTTACTCAAACATATTTCATATAATTTCTTTGCAGTTCTGTAAACGTCCGCGTCGTGTTGTGAATATATTACATTTTTGCGAATTAGGTGCGTTCAGGTTGTTACGATTTTTCCAGCTCATCACTGACTAGACTAGAAAGCAAATACCTCTCTGAACCACCTTTCCTGGCACATCAGCATCTTTCTATCGTAAAAGAATATAAAAAAAAATGGTCTAAGATGATATTAAGTTTAAATATTGCGTTAATAAAAGTTCATGAAAAAGGCACAGTGAAAATTATTTGAATAAAAAATGAAGAAGCTGAGTAAATACAGATAAAAAATAAACAAAACACATCCAGCCATGCAGAGGATGGTGAATGAACAATTGAACTGGATTATATTGGTATTATAAGTTATAGATATTCAGTTCAATCTCCATGGCAATCTCACACAAACTGCATTAAATTAGATATGGCAAGCCAGAAATGTCTCAGTCTTTTATTTATTCTCAAACGGGGGAGCTCAAACAACTTTTTATTTCCAAAACAACTTTTTATTTCCAACGTGTCTTTTGAATAAAGCATACTTTTGCTTTACTATCTGTCATTTGTAGCTTATTGTTAGCTAGTTATTTTTTAAGTAGGGCCGTGCCAAGCAGCTTGTGATAAATTGGATGGGGTAAGCCAAACCAGAAAGATCTCCGGTTCTTCTTATCTGTCTATGTTGGCAATGAACGTTGGACATATCCAGTGTTCAAGTGAGTATGCAGCCCTTTCTGTTCTTTCAAAATACAGTAACTTCCTAAATATATGTGGTAACTTGTACTGAGCGAGAGTATTGGACACCTCATAGAGTACCATAAGTTAGCTCATTATAGTGAAGGATATCCGAAACTTTCTGACGGGAACTAAACCGTCGATTCTTTGCTCATAATTTGTATAATATTATCATTATCAGTGACGTTATGATCATCATTGTCAAAAGTCTTTATTGCGTCATCATAAAGTTCCCCGACGTCATCATCAATCGTGACGTCATTACTTGAAACAGCAGGAGACATATCAACACTGTTTCGTGAATTTCCTGGAAGACGTGACTGGGATGAAATTACCTTACTTGAAGTGAGTCTCGTGTGTGGCAGTAAATGTAAAGGCGTCAATGGCTGGTATTGGTATTTGCCTGAGAAAAAAAAAAGATTCTGTGAAAAATTGTTAATTTAAGGTCAAAGACCCCCCCCCCCCCCTCCCCCAACAACAAATTGGGACGGCTCTGCGCTGCGTGATACCAATATAAATAAGTTTAAGACTACGGCCACGCCACTAGATAGGCCACAATCTCAAGAATAATTCATTTCCTTATTTTTTTTTGTGATTAGCGTTATTATTGAATAGAAGGCGATGACAAATTAGTTATTCTATCCAGAGTAAAGAGTCCAGCTGCACACTAACACAAATGTATTTCTGTAACGTTTCGTCCGACCAGAGTCAGACTTCCTCAGACAAGCAGTTTACAATAATGGCAAGAAATAAATTGCTGGACTCTTTAATTGGATAGAATAGTCATGTTTATTCCAGCTACAGTATCCTTGCAGTATACGCATACGGATCCACTAGCATAAAGGCATAGAGAAAAGATAGGAAGTTAGTCTCGCGCAACCCAACTCAAATTTAACAAATTAGTTAATTTGAAAATTTGCGCTTAGAACAAGTTCGCGCGACCATCAAAGAGGTTTCAGCAGCAGCTCAGACACTTTCGTCATTCAAATAGATTTTCAGGCATGGTTGTGAACATACCTTCGTTTTTGTGTTTTTACATGCTATTTGTTGGTTTTCTGGTGTGTTTCGGAAATTTAAGTATGTCTTTTTAGTTTACTTGCAGTAGGCAAAAGTTAATCTAGAAATAGCTGTAATAATCTTGGCTGAACTTTTGTACGATAAATTGTCAAATGTTTTGAATCAAAATGATGGTTTTTAATCATGCAAACAGTTTATTTATATTAGTTGCTGAGAAAATCGATTTTCTGAACATCAACAACAAACGAACAAAAGTAACAATTGCGATATTTAAGTCAATAATACACTCACACATACACCAGCCAGCTAAGCAAGCCCAATGTAACTTAGCACATTGCGATCCTCCCATTGTGTTTACAAACTTCGGAATTTTCTGAGCAGCAGAGATTTCCGCCAATTTTTTTGCCGATGCTTTGAATGTTGCTGGACAAGGCCGATATGATCGTTTCATGTACTGGAAAAGCGAGATTATAATTCAGTATAATGAGAAATGATATATTGTGTTAGTGCTGTGTCATCGCTACTATTTCTTCTCTAATTATAATTTTGCCAAGATCGACAAATAGTAATACTCAAATATTCGAAAACCAACCGGTTTTGTAATATGAATGACGACGAAGCTGTTATTGGTGACAATAATTTAGCGTTGGAAAAAACCATCTGGGGTATATGCCAATTGCCTGACCACTGAAAGTTAGGTTAGGATACACATTTCTATGTCTGTATTAGCAAGCAACTGTTAGTTGGTTAACCAAACTTGTCTTAAGATAAACCGAATTAATTTAAAAAAAAATGATCAGACAGAACCATCAGTAAAACAAACAGAGAAACGTGGGGCAATAATTTAATATTTAAAAAAAGATCCATCTCCGAGCAAAGTTACAGTAAACCTCTGGATTGCCAAGTTTTACTAAAATCATATAGGAATATAATGGTGCAATATATGACAGTAAACACGGTCCCACTTGGAGACCAACAGGTCAATATGATCAGGGAAGCTGATCTGGCGCACTTGTGTCTGCTGGAATTACGACTATATTTTTTTGGATATAAATTTCCGCTCAAAATATCGATAAAAATCACGTCATAATGTCGCCGATTGTTACATTGTGCTTCTGATTATTATATAAACATTAGCCTAGACTACACGGAGGACTAGTTTTAGTAAATAAACTGTTTCCCATTCATAGTTATTCATAATAATTTTGGGCCACCGGCCCAGTAACCAATCATTACGTGTAACTGGTCCACTCAAAAAAGTGATTGATTGCCTACCCCTGCTATATGCACTATACTTATCTTACCCTTACCTACAGCATGATCTAAATCTGCTGACGCGAGAAGCAGTTTAAAATAATATAATCAAAAAATGACCCAATAACACCCAACAAATAACCAATACTAGTTACAGCTCACCTTTAATAATACCGGGTTCATTTCATTGACTCTCCACGTTGGGAAATGCTCCGGAGTCAAATCCGGAACTCTTGGTTTTTCAAAGTTCATTTCGTGTTGTAGTGTAGGATCTGGATAAAAAACGTCACTTTCGTAACTAAGTTGACGCATCATTTCAAAAGTTGATGACGTAGAAGCAGTCGTTGACGTATCATCTGACGTAGTTATGTATGACGTACTGTTCCCCATTTGAATTGGCGAAATTATGATAAGTTACGATTTATTTATATTAAGTGCATGGTAGTTATTCTGTGAAAACAAGGTATAAAATATGAATATCATTTTAAATGTTTATGACGTAGAAGCAGTTGATGACGTATCATCTGACGTAGTTATGTATGACGTACTGTTCCCCATTTAATTTGACAAAAATATAATTTTTAATCTATTTATATTAAGTGCATTGTAGATATAGTCTGTAAAAACAAGGTATAAATTATGCTTATAATTTCAAACGTTGATGACGTAGAAGCAGTTGATGACGTATCATCCGACGTATATATGTATGAGGTACTGTTCCCCATTAAACTTAACAAAAATATAACTTTTAATCTATTTATATAAAGTGCATTGTAGATATAATCTGTAAAAACAAGGTATAAATTATGCGGTGACCGTACATTTGAACCCATGTACATTTGAACCCATGCGTATATCCACGGGTTCAATCTATATGCGGGAGCTAAAACCCATGGGTTAGGGTTAGTATGGGTTTAACTATCCGTGAAACAAAAAAAATTCCATAGGTGCAATAGCATACAGGTGCAATTGCCGTGGGTTCAAATGTACGTGGGTTCAAATGTAATGGAACCAAATTATGCTTATAATTTCAAACGTTGATGACGTAGAAGCAGTTGATGACGTATCATCCGACGTATATATGTATGAGGTACTGTTCCCCATTTAACTTAACAAAAATATAACTTTTAATCTATTTATATAAAGTGCATTGTAGATATAATCTGTAAAAACAAGGTATGAAATAAGCTTAGAAAAACTTTTGCTCATCTACTATGAAGGAGTCTGTTGTAAAGCAGTCTTTTATGTGTATAGTTTACTATGTTTTAAAAAGAATTCCAAAGTACATAAATTCCCATACCCTATAAATGCTATTTTCTATCCTTTCGCTCCGAACAAGGCTGTACTAAGTTTTAAAAAAATCGCAAAGTACACGCAATGCATCGTATCATGAACCGCAGATTGATAGATGATTATGGAGACGCCGCCACGTATTTTCTACAGACAAAATACATGGAGATGTAATTGCTTTGAAATTTGTCTCTATAGGGTTCGTTTTGTTTGGTGGTAACTGGTCCTAAAGTTACCTCCCAGCCATATCGAAAACTTTTGATTAACTTATTCTGTTGTTATTATTTTTTATAATATGTGTTTTTTGGTTGACGAAATAATAAACTCTCTCTCTCTCGATTCATTGGTCGCAAGAAGCAAGCTTGAGTTGTGACTGTTGTATTCGCATCGTTCCATTTTAAGTTGAGAATTCGATACTTTGTTTTGAGCAAACATGTGTAAACTCTATTTGCGAAAAATCGATAGAAAACGCATTTACGGGTAACTGATTTGAAACTTGTCATTACTTTTTCTTGTTTGTCAAAAGTTAGAATTTTTTCCAGCAAAAACATGTAAAATTTACTGCCATTTGAAGGTAATGTTGCTCAAGAAGAAACATGTAGAACAGGCCATTGATATGTCGGTTTTACTCTGTATTCGAAGACCGGACTACTCATGGTACAACCGAAGTATGTGAACCAAGATGGCGGACAGCGGAACGTAGTGTGTGTACACTACGGCCTACTGACGCTATTGGGATATGCACGTTTACACCTGGTCTCAAACCGCCTCGCGCAAAGGCTTGTGAGAAGAGCCCTATACTTTCATAGTATACACACACTCAGCGAAAGAAAATATGTTCCCAACACGTATATTGCTGATTTTCCTCAAGTCTAGCCAAAAAATTCCGTTTTGCTTGCTAACAGCATAACTGTCAACAAAAGCCGACCATAATGTTTAGCAAAAGCTTTTGTACGTAAAGAAATACAATGCATTGTAAGACGAATATAATAACAACTACTCTTCGAATAAGGAGATAACAGTTGCGCTGACCCCTGGGCCATTGCTTTCAATATAGAGGGAATAACCATTAAAAATGTTATCCATCCATATTTAATACCTTAGAATTTAGATACTTCTCAAGGAAGTCTAGCAAGCTATGACAGGCGGGCCCAACGGAAGCGTGAAAGACTAGTAAACAACAAGCTTTAAGCGACGTGAGCTAGATTACGTTTCATCGAAGGCAAACTGAAGCAGAATTTTCCCTAATGAGCCCCACCAAGAAGTCACAAGGAGTTTAATGGGGGCCACGCTACGTATCGCCATGGTTCACGTAATTGCTGATCGGCTACGGTAGCGGTACCGGGAGCCCTTGGCCCCCCAAGGGGACCACAATACCAGTCGCAAAACTAATTTTACTTTTCCACTTTAGAAGAAAACTCCCCGTTTCTCCTTGTCTATTGCTAGCTTCCACTAGGTACCGAGTTCATTGACAATACAGTTACAACGTTTAAGACTTGTGCTTTTAATTATATCAATCGTCTTTAGCAAAATTGAAAAAATGTTAGTTTGGTAGTCTCTTTTACAAAACGAATACACTCGCGAACCCTTACTTGCATAAGGTTGTATTCGGACTCTGATTGCTCTGTCGTTCCCTTTTGCACGATTATTGTGATACCAGAATTTAGTATTTTAGTCCAACGAAACGTCATATGAAAATCCTGCCCATTTTCCTCATTCTTTATCAAAAGGTCTTCAGTTCACTTACGGTAACCTAATTTACCAGCGTTCTCAGATCGGATTTAGACAGATAAATATTTAATGTTTCCATCAGTATTCGGCGGTTTGGATGTCACGTGATCATGTCTGATCAGGTGTGACTGAATGCAGTTTTTCGATGTCTGCATCCAACAGCATCGCTTTCGCGTTGTAAATTTTTTTATGCGTGGAATTCTTCAGAAACACGGGCGTACCCGGGTGGCGAAAGCTTTTAAGTGTCGTACATAGCAATTTTCCGTGGCTCAAAACGCTGTTTACTAGGGTCACCATATTTGAAAAAGCAAAATTCCGGACAGTGCATGACTATTTTCATGACCTCGTAGTAAAAAATATGCGCACGGTACGAAATAACAATGTTCTGTAGTAGCAGTGTGCACAGTACGATTGCAGATGCAGTAAAATTCCGGATTTCGGACATTTGAGCATTTATTAAATTCTTACCCGGACGCAAAATTTAACCCTAAATTCCGGACATGAGAACGCTGGTAAATTAGGTTACCGTAAGTGAACTGAAGACCTTTTGATAAAGAATGAGGAAAATGGGCAGGATTTTCATGTGACGTTTCGTTGGACTGAAAGTCTAAAATACAAAATCCTGGTATTATAATCGTGCCTAAGGGAACGACAGAGCAATCAGAGTCCGAATACAACCTTATGCAGCAAGTAAGGACATGTTCCGGACATGTCCGGGATTTTCCGGACGGTTTGGCAACCATAGTTTAGACCCGCAAGGCTCTTGAGAACCCACGTCTTTGGCCGGACCCGCAATCTGTTATGGTCTAACTTGGCAATTAGAAATTTTAGAATCCATACTATACTACATACTATTTTCAGGTTGTGCGCCATCTTGGTACGAATACTACGGGAGCAACGGTCTCAATATAGCGAAAGCATCATACACGGACTATTTCTTTACCGTAATTTTGTTATATTCCGCGCATCTGAATCGAATGACTGCCTAACTATTCCTATATGATATATGAATTGGTAATCACACGATAAGCCGTGGTTTACCATATCATTAACTAGAGATGTACCGATACCACTTTTCTCGCCGATACCGATACCAGCTATAAAGGCCGATACCGATACTATGTAATTATTCCCTCAAGTGTGCAGGACAGACGGTTTAAAACAATAGTCTTTGGGTAATATTAATAGTGCACATTATTTCCGTATGAAAAAAAGAAATATCACACACATATATATTTATTAGGAAGTAGATGTTTGGGATCCAAATGCGTTAATTGATTCAGATGCATTGAGCACTGGGGCTAGTAATCTCGGTTTTCAATTAGAAAACTAACAGTATTTGGCTACTGTTGGTGGTAAAATAAATAAATGTTCAGCCTACTTATTGTATGAAACTGATACATTGATTTACTTGCGCAGGATTTTGTGCCAAAATAACGTCGTATTTTATATTTTACATACCGGAACATTCACTAATATTCGATTGATATATTTTTCCATAATTACCATGTAATATTAAAAATTTCTTTAGCGGGTGTGGGGACGTGCATGGCTCATAGTTCACGATCTATCCGAAAAGAAATAATTTCAAGATCTGTATTCTAACCTAATTTTCAAAACATTCTTGATCATATTGAGAAGCTAAATATATCGGAAATATCGGTCTAAATCTAGCCGATACCGATACACTACCGATACCGATAAATTGGCCGATATTGTTGATACCGATACATCTCTATCATTAACCTGAGTTATCGCTTTTTTTCCCCAGAATAAATATGAAAATACAATCTTAGTAATTATTCTATAACGAATTTATATATGTCACTGAACACAGAACATATCACCGAATGCTGATTACCTTAGTAATCAGTAATTTATTTCCTCACCATGCTGAAAACACGAACTATACATACACAAATTGAAGAAAATTTAAAAAAAATCGCATTTCAGGGTGAAAAAAGACGCCGAAAACCAATATTGGTTATCGAGCGCCGGCACCCTTGGGAAAGTCCAATATGTTTATCAGAACATGATAAATAGAATAAAGGTGAGTACATGGTTGCAAGTAACAGAATACACAACTTCAAGCAAAGTCACATGCGGCTGCTGAAACATCGAAAGCTATTGAAACCAAATTGGAGCTTTCAGATATGAAAAGCATTTTTTTTTTCCAAACATTTGCTCAAAGCAGGGTAAAGACTCATCGAGCCAACACGAACAATCGCTATACTGCCAAAAATACTGTAGACAGAGCATTGCGCGCCAGAAGATACAGGTTAAGAAATCGGTGCTCCCGTAGTATTTGTACCAAGATGGCGCACAACCTGAACATAGTATGAGTACCAGGTTAGGGTTAGCAGGTTGTG